ATCATCTAACGCACCGACCCTCACAAGAACAAGCACGATTCCTCAGCAAGGGGGCTCTGGTGGGCCTGGCGGTGGCGGCGGTAATGGGTACGGATACCCCTTGTATCAGAACAAGGCCACGCTCAATATCGTCGGTGACCTTGGGTCGATGGCAGAGAACTGGACCCAGGAAGAGTTTGAGAACAAGCGGAGGATCGTCATGTTCGACAAGTCGCAACACGGCGCGGTCCTCACCACCAGGTTTAAGCCGGTCAACGTGTCGGAGAGGCCTTCAGGCGCCATTTGCATCAGCTGCATCTGGTGGGCTGAGAAGCAGGAGTGCTACGTCACATCGGTGGACACGATCCATTTGCTGGAGCAGCTAGTTGCCGCACCCAACCGATTCTCAGTCGAGGAGAGGAACAGAATCCGGAGGAACCTCGAAGGATTCCGCCCCTTGACGGTCAGCAAACAAAAGCCGGATAGCGAGGAGTTCTTCAAGGTCATCATGCAGTTCGGTAACCCCAAGCCGAGAAACATTGAGAAGGATATCAAGGTCTTCGCGTGGAAGATCTTGGATCAGGCGTTGAAGAAGATCATCTCCAAGTACAGCACTTCCCCATCGGCCCTTAGCATTCCCACCGCACCATCTGCAAATGGTCCCCTGTACGGCCTGCCACCCACACCAAGCTCAGTCTCCTCTGCCGATCAGTCTTCAACGGGGTATATGGGTGCCGGTCACCATCTCGCCGACTCACTGGCAAGTCCACGGCCTCTTGGTGGCGCCTCCTCATGGACGCCGTATGGGACTTCGGGCAGGACCATGTCGCCATCACTAAAGACCAGCTCCCCCATGTCGGTGCCTGGCCTCCGCATCTCGACCCTCTCAGGCGTGTACGACAACAGAGGATCCACACAAAGCCTTGCATCGCCGTACGGTATGACGAGTTCAACACAGCATAGCCCCCATTCGCATCATGCCCAGGGCAATTATGTACAGTCTGGGGTGTCGGTATCACAGGGGCCGCGCGCATGGGATTCCAGCTATGGTGTGACCGATAGCTATGCCGCCGCGCAAGCCAGCCATACCCATGGCCAGGTCTATGGTGGCGGAGCCTATGGGGACGTACACCGCGCCTAAACCGGCAATCCGATGCGATAGCCTTTTCTGCCTAGCGACCAGGAAGCCAAGTGCAAAAGGCATCTCTGGGCATTTTGCTAGCGGTTGCCCATGAGTCATTTGCACAACGGTGTTGTAGTGGGGTTGCAGTGGTGGGCGATGATACGAATCAACCTCCATCGCAAGCCTCAAACGACATGGAAATCTTGATATCAAATACCACTTTTACGACCGACCGGGGCGATCTTCAGTTCCGTATTCGCATCTTGCCATCTCTCAACACAAGAATGATGGCTGCCTCAACCATGAGTCCCATGCAGAGTGGTTCTTCCTTCTGATACGGCATTCTGGGAGTGGAGTGGGAAATGATCAGCTGGTTGGTGGCATGGACCAATCACGGTGCGACTCGACTCACCCTTTTAGGAGGCCAAGGCATCTCGGGGGTATCCCGAGGACATTTTGCATCCTACCTTGCCGATCACACTTGCTTTCGCATTGACATCAAGGAATGCAGATGATGGAACCGTTTGGGTGGAGCAATACTTTTGGCAGACGACTCTACCAGTACGGTGGTCACACATCGAAATCTGGCCAGCGGTCGTCGCTTATCTATCCGTTCGAGTGCCGAGGAGCACTATCGGTCTTGGATTGCGGCATTCCATATCCCATTTCGAAGTGGTGTGCGAACCATGTCCCCGTGGGTTGGGTGTGTGACATGCATGGCATGCTCGGTGCCGTCGCAGGCAATCTGCCTTCTGCACTCCTGCTTGCTGCCGGGCATCGAGACTACTGCATGTCCAAGGCGCAAGGCGCAACGGGAAGCAAGCAAGCAGGCTGCTGGGCGCAACGTCGTGCATACATGCTATGTGTGGACAATGCGCCTGTCAAAGGGGACTCGCATCGTTTGCTCGATCGCACCACCGAACCGGAAAGTCGCCGGACTGATTTACTGAATGCGCGTACAACATGCACAAAGCAATCGGCCCCGAGATGACGGGGTCTGCTGAAGATGATGGCACAAGATGCACAAGATGTTGTGTTGCGACGATAAGGGTACTACAAGGCTGGGCTGTGCTGAGCTGCGACGCGTACAATGGGCGCTTTTCCTTTCTGTACTACTGCTACTGCTTTTCTCTTCATGTTTTGTTATTACTTTGTTTACGTTGAGGGGGAAACGGTGATATACCCTGCTTTGCATCTTGATCATGGAGATTTGGACGGTTTACTTTGTTCTGTTATTTTTTTCATCCGGCGCGCGCGGGGAATTCGGATATGGTGAGAGTGGCTATGGTTAGATGGCGGGATCTACTTTGGTGTTTAGAATGGGTGGCTTAGTTGGATGGAAGTTTCATATGATGTGTACTACTCTACAGATTTACTGAGAAGGCAGGCGGTTTTGGTGTTTGGATCTAATTCATGAGATATCTTGATCATTTTACCTTTGCTTCTGATTATGATCGTGAATCGCATGTGCTGGTCATCGGTTTTTTGCTGGCTCGCTGGATCTGTGAACAGGTCCGGAAGCCGATCCACGTTCCGTGGTAGCATCTCCAGATCGGATCGGCCCCGTCCTTGGCGGACCCCCCGCAGCCCCGGCCGGACCCGCCGATGGTTGATGCCCGAACAATCTTTTCCTCCGTTCATCGATACTCGCTGGTATGTTTACCACGGCCACGAGGAGAACGAAGAAATCTTGAAAGGAGTGATCCAACAGGGAAGAAAAGAAGGGAGTATCAAGGACAAAAACCAGGTAGGAGCCGGCCGACTACAGTGGGTGGATCCGTACTTACACAGGTGATGGTGGGTTCCGTTCGAAGTTCGCTCAAGCGCGGCATGCGCCGGACGGCATCAATCACGACATTGATCGGAAACCGCGACTGCTTAGATTACGATAAAGATATGCTAGAGACCAGTCTCTGTATATACTTGGTCTCTTATGCGCAGTAATTCGACAAGATCTTCAAATTGGTTCGTTAGTTTGAGCCGTCTTCCGGTTCGAGATTTTTGAGTGTTCGAATGTGGGTAGGTAGAGATATCCACTTTGAGCCTGCCGAGCCCCTGTCAGCGTGCTGTAACTGATACCGCAACGTGCTATAACTGATGCAGCAGCGCGCTGTAACCGATGCCGAAGCGCGCTTTAACTAACCTAAGCGCGCTTTAACCGGTACCGCTTCTACCTCTACAGGTAGCGCAGGCCATCCAGGAATGTTTCGGGATTTTTCCCGTCCGCCTGCACCACAGGACACTCACGTCCAGCTGGGTTCAGCCTACCGTCGAGTTATGTACGGTGGCCCAAGTGCGTCTTAGGCTCAATTGAAAAAGTTTGGTTGAAAAATGGCCCGTGTCAGCTGCAGGCACTAGGTACGCGCCAAAGGGTGTCATTCGAACTCCAACACTACAGGTAATAATATATAGTATCAACCCTTGAAAGTGCAAGTACCCCTAAGTGCAAAAACCCTCCAAAGTGTAAAACAATTTAGCGGCCTGGATTAATTGTACTTTCAGGAGTTGATACTGTAACCTTAATTCTAACTCTCTGAAAACAAAGTAATAAAGTAATGAAGTAATAAAGCAATGAAGCAATGAAGCAATGAAGCAATGAAGCAATGAAGCAATAAAGCAATGAAGCAATGAGAGCCACGAAGTGCCAAGATTTAGGGTGACAATGCAAATGGACCCTAGTCCTTCTCTAAATTTTGAACTTTGATGAATTGGGGTAGGGTAATAGTGTAAATGGATCCTTCCGCCTTCTCAAAAAAATGAGTGAGGAAGAGAGAAAAAAAAAAAGGAAAGAAGAAGGAAGGAAGAAAAAGAAAAAGAAAAATAAAAGGTGGGAAAAGATAGAAAAGATGAAGTTTAGGAAGGTTAAAGCGGTTTCAAAGGTTGGTGGTTAACGCTTGATGCTCTAGGTATAAGTATTGAACGTTGTAAATGCTTTGGAGGCGTTAATCTAAAATAGTCGACAGCTGAGGCCAGTTGGGAGCTCGGACCAGTTTTCAATTGGGCCTAAGACGCACTTGGGCCACCGTAGTTATGGAATGGAGGCAATAATCTTATCTTGGACTACCTGATTCATCGAGAAGTCGAATTATCTGGGCGACTTCAATCGGAGGTCTCATTTGGGCTGGCGGTGGAAAGGGTACCGGCGAAACCTGGGAGTAACCAGTGCAACTTTTGACAAAGTTCCGCTCTGCAGCGTCGGGTTTGACATTCCTGGCCACATAAAACAGCGGAAACTCATCAGGTGGTCCTACCTTGGACGTCCATCGTTTTGTAAATATAAGATATTTAAAGAACCCATAGGCAAGGAATTCCACCCTTGGTCCTTCGATTTCTGGGATCAAGTCACAATTTCATGCACGGAAAGGGCGTCAAATTGGGGAGTGATTATATAGTTGTCTTGGGAGCGTTCGCTGCCCTGGACTGTAGGAATTCACAACGGTCGGTCGACCGATTTCAACACCAACTCCAATGATGGTAGCCATTATAAACCGTTTAAACTAGTATAATGAGAAAGCAAGATGGAGCGATCTCCAGGAATAAGTTACCCCTTAAGTGATCGTCAAGATGTGACCTTTTGTGACGTTGTCAGATCTCTGGTACACATTTTTGTTGGTTTTGTCCCAAAAATTTCTTTTTTCACTCGAGCCATTATGCGTCTTTAATCGATACTCGGGTAATTGAACCTTCTTCTCGCGGAGTTTTGGACATGTTGGACATTGTCTTATTCAACTGTATTGCGCTACCATATGCGTGCTATCCGAACTGAAGATGGAAGATTTGTAAGAAATGGCATAACTCATAACTCCTGGTGTGCATCTGTAACTGACAACGCAAGCAAGGAAGATGAAAAACGCATATAAAAGTCGCTGAAGAAAGAACAGGAAGATATGAAGATATGAAGAAATGAAGAAATAATCCAAAAGCAAAAGGCCGCCTGTACGCGACAAAAGAAACGAAGAGTGCAATGTCCGATATCCAACCCCAATCACCAAGCAAACCCAAACAGTCGATCCGCAAACCCCAGCATCACTCGCAAAAGATCATCAAAACTCAAGTTACCCGACCCCATCACAGCCGTCCCATCCGCTCTTACTGCCGGCCCGTTCTCTCCATGCTCACGAACTGCTCACGCTATTCCTCTTGTTCCTCCCCGACATCCCCCAAAGACTCCACGAATCGCTTCGAGTTTTGGTCTTTGGCTTTGGCGGCTCCTGTCCCTTTGCCCCATCCTTCCCTCCGTCCTTTCCATCTGCTCCCCCCTTTCCTCCTGACCCTGACCCAGACCCTGACCAGAGTCCCTTCCCAGCAGTCGTTGTCGCAGCTGGCGACGGTTCCTGAGCCTGTCCCTGAACTTCCGCAACAGTTGCAACCGGAATATCCTTCTTCCCTTTTGACCCCCCTTTCGCCCCATTTTCATTTGCATTTGCATCGGAAGCAGCGGCGAACGCGGCGAGAGAGGGGTTCGTGGCGACAGCGGGGAAAATGGAAACATTGGTGACCTGGGCGTGGGGATTACTCCCACTACTCCCATTTCCAGGACTCTCGATAGGCGCGGATGGGGTCTGTACTTGTGTGTTACTACCAGACTGGTGGCCAAGAAAAAACTGCTCGCCTTCACCTGGAATCTTGTTGGAGGTGGTGGTGGATGGTGTCGAAGCTGGAACGGGTTTTGTGACGGAAGACTGTCGGTCTCGGTTGACGGAAGCGGTCGAGGGTGTGCGTGACTTGGTGGTGCGGCGCTTGGGAGAAGGGATCGCGGGCGGTTGCTCGGAGGCTGCTTCGGTAGAGGCGGGCTCGGTAGGTTCGGCGGGCTCGGCGGGTACGGTGGAAGGATCGTTGACGGCGTCGTTGACCGTGTCCTTGACGGGGCTGGCGACGGAAGTGACCGCGTTCAACGCCTTGTTTAGGGCTTCATCGGCGGCGGAAGCAATGGCGGAAGCTTCGTTGGTGATGGCTTCCTTGACGCTCTCGGTGGTGTTGTTCTCCACGTCATCCTTTCCATCCTTGTCCTTGACCTGGTCGTTCGCAACCGACTTGTCTTGCTCCTCCTCACCGACACCCTTGACATCAACCTGCCCACCATCACCGTTTACCTTCCCATCGCCATCCCCAGGAGCATCACCCCCCTTCCCGGCACCACCACCATTACCATGTGCCTCCTTGCCGTCCTTCCCATCCTTTCCTCCCGCCCCTGGAAACAACCAGCTAGCCGCGCTCCAGCTTCCGCTGCCACTACCGCTTCCATGGCTTCCCGCAACGTCGGTTCCGCTAACAGCCGTCTGCACTGCTTCGGGAATGGCCCTGGGTACTGCAGCCGCGGCAGATGTTGCCGCAGCGACTACCGGTGGGATAGGTCCATGGGCAGCGCTCGTGTTCCTCCTCTTCTTTCCAAGCGGAAATCCCCATCCACCAGACTTGCCAGTGCTTGTCTGGCTTTGGCTCAGAGCCTGGATGGCGGCGTCGTTGGTGGTAGTCGACGAAGAAGTAGACGGACGGAGTTCAGGATCGGACTTGACGGAGTTGAGAGCTCGTTGGGTTTGTTGGTCTGGCTCGGCGGCGGCGGCGGCGGCGGCAGAGGACTGGGAATCGGTGGCCGGCTCAGTTGAGGGCAGCTGGGTTTTGGACTGGGCTGCTTCGGGGTTGAGTTGGACAGTGTTAGCGTGGGCAAGTTGTTCGGAGCTGCGATCCGATGTAGAAGTTGAGAGGCCCTTGATGCTGGCCTTGCTAGCCTTGGACGTCAGGGTCTTCTTCGCGTCACCCTTCTTGCCCTTGTCCTTGTCAGTGGTCTTGTCCTTATCAGCAGCCTTCTTCTTGTTCTTCCGCACGCCTAGCCATGATCCCCAACCCGTTCCACCTTCAGTGGGAGTCTGTTGCTCTGCCGGCTTGTCATCTGCCTTGGTAGGTTGAGACTCCAATGTTGGCTCGGAGACAGGCTCAACCGGCTTGGACACCACATCGTGGGCATCAACAAGCGGTGCACCTCCCCCCGGAGTCTCGGGCTTCTCACCAACAAGTTCAACCTCACCCGAAGCATCAACCTCAACTGGCCGGTCTGCAGCAAGCTCATGGACTCCTTCGACAGAACCCACATCAACAGGCAGCGTGGCCGTAGAGTTCTGGTACTCCACAGCTGTGACAGCTACCGAGTTGGAAAGGGTGTCAGTCACCGAGGCCGTCAGGCTGTGGTTGGCAAAGTTAGTGGTCGAAGCTGATGGGGTGATATCCTCTGGGATGGTGGGAAGGGTGTCGATGATGGTACCGTTAGGGCTGATGATGTGCGTCTGTAGCTCAATGGGTGGCTCAAGGTCGAGGGTTGGTTGGTCCTGGACGATTGACGTCTGGTCGACAACGGTCGCTTCCGGTTGGGCCTCAGGTAGGATGTCCTTCGTTTCAGATTGTTGTTCCTCAGTTGTTGGTTGAACCGCGTGGTGCTCCACAACTGGCTGGGCCTCAGGTTGCACCTCATCCCGTTTCGGTTGGGCGACTTGGGCTACGTCCTCGGTGTTGGCGTTGTCCTTGTCATCCTTGGGCACATCCTGCTGTGTAACTTCGGGCTGCGCTTGGGCAGCGGCAGCCTCTGGTGCAGCCTCACTTTCCCGCAGTTGCGGTTGGGTCTCAGGCTCTTGTTCCACGACAGGAGCACCACCACCACTAGCAACCTTTGAGCTGCTCTTCTTCGTCTTGGTGGTCTTCTTGGTGGTCTTCTTTTTCTTCGGCGAGCTGGCAGGCTCCGTGGGCGCATCCGATTGGCCCTCAAGCGCCAATGGCTCCGGGCTCGTTTCAGGCTCAGGCTTCTGCTCGGACTTCGGGGCAGGAGCGAGTGCCTGATCCAAGCTCAGCGGCTCATCCTTGGGCTGGTTTGCCTGCTTGCTGGAACCCCAAGGCCAAAAGATCTTGTAAGCCGGTTGCGGCGGGGATTGTGGTGGTGATTGCAGAGAGGAGCGGATGTCCGGACTGGAAGGGCTGGAAGTCATTCCGGTAGGTTCGGGGGACAGTTTGGAGTCTTTGCGGTCTCTGGTCGTCTTCTTTGTTGGCTTTGCGGGACCTGGGCGCGAGGTTACTGCCTGGGGTGTTGTCTCTTGGGATGTTTCCTGGGGAGTTTCGGCTGGTGTTTCCGCCGCCGGAGTTGCGCTCTCTGACTGAACTGGACCTGTGGACTCTTCGGCGGGCTTGACGACCTTCTTCTTCGTCTTACGCTTCTTCGTGGGAGACTTGGGGCTTGTGGTAAGCTCGTCGATGGGAGTCTGTTCTCCAGGTGCCTGCCCCTCACTCACTGATTGAACGGGAGTCTGCGGTCGCTCCTGCACGCTTTTGAGCACCGGCTTAACCTCGTCGACGACCGCCGCTGGCATCTGAGTCGTTTGTGTCTCAGAATCGGGAGGCCCCTGCTGTGCCTGATCAGACTCTCGTGTAAGCTCGTCTTCAAACGCAGTGTTCTTCTTCGCAGCCTCAAGCAAGTGAACTCCTCCGGAAAAGATCTCAACAGGTGCCGCCAGAACTCCCGTACTGCCCGATTGCCCCTTATTTTCCTCTGAAGTTGAAAATGTCAATGACTTGTTCCAATCCTTGCCTTCATCATAAGACGGTGTCCAGTTCCAAATACCTTTTGCAGGTTTGTCCTTGGTTGCCTCAAGCGAGAGAGGCTCGGGTGACGCAATGTCTCGGGCGGGGATCTCGGAGGGTGTTGCGTTCGAAGAGGCGACGGACATGACGGGCGAGAGAGTTGCTGATGCTCGCTTCTTGGCTTCGGCCAGCTTGGCCTTCCTCTTGAGGTTTTTCTTGCGGTTCTTGCTGGGGCTGCTGGGGCTGGCGGTTACGGAGGCAGGGGAGTCTTCGGCGTGGGACTCAGAGATGAGGCCGCTTTGAGGAGTTCTAAGGCCTTCGGGTGGTGTCTGAATGCTCTCCCGCGGTTGAGGTGTGACGGGACGTTCGAGCTCCTTTTGCGTGGAGGCGTAGACCAGACCTTCCATGGGAGTGCTGATGGTCTCTTTGGGTGTGCTGAATGCTTCCTCCTCTTTGGTCTCCGGCTCCGGCTCCTTGACCTCGGGTGCCGTCTGCTCAACCTGCGGCTCCGGCTCTTTGTGTTCTGTTTCCTGCTCTTGTGCGACCTCCGGCTCCGTATGCTCCACATGCTCAACGTGTGGTTGTTCGTGGTGTTCCACCTCCTCCTGCCCATGTGCAACTGGCGTGTCCTGCTCGTGTTCCTGCTCTCCCTCCGCCTTCTCTGCCGAAATATCATCATCAACAACCGCATCCAATGGAATCATGACCGGCTCCTCCACCTCCGGCTCCGGCTCCAGTATCGACTGCCTATCTGGCTCGTGATGAGGATCCCGCTCAATGGAGAAATCGGGAGAGAAGTTGGGAGAGAGTTCTACAGCTCCATCGGTAGGCAGTTCATTGTATTCAGCGGGCTGCAAACCGAGCGCGGCTTCCAACGAAGGAGAAGTGGCAGGGGGCACCCACTGGTCCGCTTCGAGCTCTTTGACTTCGTCCTGTTCGTGGGACTCGTGTCTGGGAGACTCGGATCGAGGGGGAGGGGTAACTGGTCGGTAGATGGTGTGCTCATGTTGCTGGACGGGGGCGGCAGGGGCGGCGGAAGAGTCGTTGAATTCGACATGCTTGGTCTCGGTGGTGATGGAGAAGATCTCCTTTGTGATTTCGACTTCGGCTGGCTGAGGTAGGGGCTCTTCGAGACCGAGACTCTCGACTTGCGTGGTTACACCTGTTGCAAAGTCGTCCGCTGTCTCGTCGATGTCCTGGGGGTGTTTCTTGGTGGCGTTCATCTCCTCGTAGACTTCCAACAAGCCCCTCATGAACTTCCTTGCCAAAGCCATCCCCTGTGTCGATTCCTGTTGTCCCTGTGTTTCGTTCTCCTTCTGAGCCCTCAACACCCTCCCAGGGTCTTGAAAGGCCTTCCTCGCCCATCCTTTAACAAACTCGTCCAGCCATTGGTCCTCGCCCTCGGTCGGTTGTTGTTCCAAAACCCCGATAACTGTGAAAGCATCCAGTCGCCCTCCCAACTCGAGCATCTCCTTCTTGGCCAGTTGCTCCAACCCACGGAGTTCATACTTCTTCGCGGCTCCATACACCTCCACCGACGTCCGAAAGCGGCTCACAGTTAGTTGACGTTCCGGGATCACTGGCCATCCGGTATACCGCAGGGTGTGGTACTTGTCAGGGGAGTAGAGGTACTGCACGAGAACGTGGCCGGCTTGAGGGGAGATGTCGGGGAAGTTGATGACATATCCGGAGGCTCCAGGAGACAGGGGGGTAGATGAAGAGTTGATTTGTTGAGAAGAGAAGTAGGAAGCGGTCCTGGACAGGGATCTGGGACCTTGGGAGGGACTCAAAACTGGAGAGGTGATAGGAGAGGCGACAGAGTTGGTGATGCAGAGGAGGGCGAGGAGGGAATGTTGTTCAAGAAAGGCGCGGTGGACGAGGAGAGGAGCGCCCGTTGAGAACTGGAGGGCTACAAGAGGCGTTGTGAATGGTCTGTGAACATGAAATTGTCAGTGGGTTTTCTGTGGTGTGGTCATGATGGTAGGAATGGGATAGGAATGAAGCAGACGTACGAGATCTCAAAGCCATCCTGGCTGCCTAGCTTGATGCCGTTCGAAAGCTTTCCAGAAGCCTTCAGGTCATGCTGCTGACCCCGAGGGCGAACTGTGCTCGCCATGTCGATGGTGAAGCGGGGTATCTGATTCTGATGGAAGTGTTGTCCAGAAAAGTAACAAAAGAGGACTGGCTCCTCAAGATGAAGCAAGATGCTGTAGGGTCTCGTACCCAGCAAAAGGGAATGGTCCTTGATGATGCGGATGTGGGGAATGAAGACAGAAAGAAACCCAGACACAAACCGAGGAGAGGGGAGCGAGACTCGTCGACAGTTTTATTCCCCCTCCATATCCTTTCCAATGTAATGTTTGCTCCGACGTTGATGACCAGCCGCATGCGCTGCGCTGTCTCCAGTCTCAATCACACCAAATGATAACCACTCAACCCACGGAGTCGGTTCGGAAACATCGCATGCCAATGCCAGGCTCGGCTTGAATCCTTGACACTTCTGATATGGGCGCACTGCATCGATACCCAACAATCCCGCGTTTGCGTCGTCGCGCGGTTTGGTCCATCGACGCCCTACCCAGACAACGATCCAAGCCAAACAACGCCCGGAATGCCGTGATCCCTCGATATCCCCTCAGACCTGGTCGGCCAGTCAGCCCCAAGTGGGATGATTCGACTGCGGGGTGCCAACACAACGTCAACAAGCAGGGTGCCGCATCGACCAATCAGACCTTGCGGACGCACAATGCCGCACGACGCAGCTTCATTGGCGTGCAGTAGACTACGGCGAGTACGGAGACTACGTGCAGCGTTTCCCCGCGCCAACCTATGATCGTCACCATTCAACCGGGCTAATGCATCCTCTTAATCGCTTGCTTCTCATGCTCTCAACAATCTCTCGCGTTGTGATGTCAGGTGAGAAACCGACAGGCCTTTTTCTCGGATTGTCTCTCATATGGGGTCCACGGCGATCCATATGAGGTGCATATCGAGGCTTGGGTCTCGGGTGCTTGTCCCTGCTCCGCACGTTATCTCCCGGAGTTTTCGCAAAGCATGATCAAGGTAATCGTGAAAATCAGGGTCTCTGATGCGCTATGCAGCACTAGTGAACTCTCGATAGCGTGTGCAATGTAAACAAACCAGAGCTTGGTTATCTCTGATCTGCAAATACCGCAAGCACATGATTGCGAGGGATCCATAGCTCAGCCCATGAGGAGGAATTTCTCCTCATTTTTCCAGCGATGGTCGTCCAGCGCTGCCGTTGTCTTGTCATCGGACAGTGCTACAGCCGATCCCGATGAGGGTCCGAGATCTCCCATCGTCAACGGACTTCTCAATATGGTGTCCGTCCCTGTTCGATGACGATATCTTGTCCTCGCCGACTAATCCACCTCCCTGAGCAACTATTTGATGCTTCGACGTTGTTGTTGTGTACGCAACACGGTATAGGTTCGCGAAATGCTCATCGAGGCCCTCGCGGTCGAGACGTTATTGGCACCAACGGTTGGTATATCGTTCGAGGAATCGCACATTGACGTCGATAAAAGGGATCGGTACCCATGACTTGGATTCCCGTGATTATGCTAGTCTCGTTGGTAATCCCTTGTACGCGGTTTCGTGGGGGAATGGGATGAAGTTGTCGAGTGTCCCCCTAGCTTTCGCCTTGCTCCTGGATGTCGCACTCGTTAGCAACTGTATTCCATTTTGGGGGCCACAGTGATCTGAACGTCGAAAAGAATCATACACGGACAATTGTGTGCTAGATATGGATCCGTCTGCAGAGGGACTGAAGTGTTCGTCGACAATGGTTATGCGAAGGATGTGCCCCATCGAAAGTCGTCGCGGTCTTGATGGTCTATCGCTATATCCCTCTCTGGCAGAAGGAATAGGCATGCGAAGGGAATGATGGTCGGCGTAAAAAGGGGCGCGCCTGACCAGAATCTATTTGACGTCCACTTCAACAGCAATCGCCTGCTTGGTCTTTGTGTTTATGTTCTCGAAGTCATCGTCGGCAGGCCAAGGACATGGCGTCCTTGTTTCTTGTTGGTGCTCTTTGCGCGCAGACTGTTGTCTGACGAGGTGGGTAGCGCTTGGCTCGATTATCCTCTTCTACGCTTTACACTGTTGACAGAGTCTCGAGTGGTGGAACTGATTCCCGTCCTTGGTCAACTCCATGTCGTTCGTAGCGACGGGGCTCAATGGGTTTCTGGCAATGGCAAGGAACTCGGTATCGGTGGCGTTCCTTGCAGCAAAGAGTATTAGCCAGAGGGTCATTTTTTGCGCAGGTGTTGAGTAGTCGGTTACGCAGCGCGCGCAGTTTGGGGGTTGTCGTCGCTTCTCTTCATTGTGTGAAGAGGTGTAGTTGATTGTCTCCGTCTCGAAGGTGAAGACAAAGTGTCGGAGTGGCCTGTGCAGTCGGACCCGACCCGAGTAATCCACGCTAGCAAAATGGCGATAGCCACACCAACCTAATACAAAGAAGAAGAGGAAAGAACGACACTCGGCTCATCCACAGCATTCCTTCACCAGACCACCTCCTTCCACATGGCAAAAAGACCGTGATCATCCCAAGAAGCTCGGAAAGCTCTTTTGTCTCCTCTCCTTCCCTTGACCGAGGAGCAAAAGGTCTCTGAACAAGTCAGAAAACGCAAAAAGAGAAGGACCCCGACCCAGGAACCGAACTGCGGACCTGGACCAGTGGGTTAGCCTCGAACGACACCGGCCTCACTTGTGCCAGAACGGCAACCAGCTGAGTCATAGGCAACTCTCCCCCACCTCGGCCACTGGCCGGATGAGCCCCCCATTTTGTGATAGAGAGGTGTCTCGACCTAATACATATAGTGCCATCGAAGGGTGTTTCTCCTTGCCGGTGGTTCATGGGATGATGGCCGTGAATCATGGGCACAGTCATCGGATTCTCGAAGGAGTGTGCTGGCCGATGACATGGGCAAGGCTCTTGACTGTTTGACTCTTGATCATCTTTTGGTGCTCTGAGGCTGGTTCTTTCCCTGTGGTCCTTTGTCTCCTTCCCGTCCCTTGGTGTTGAAGTTGGGAGGCGCACTCCATTCCCCTTCAGGTTGTACCTTCCTTCGGAACGGGCCGTCATCGCAACCATCACGTCCTGCAATGCGCAAGCACGGACAGTAGCACCTGCATCCGAACATCTGCAGTTCATCCTTTTCAGTCTTGGTGTTGTGACCTCGTGACCCACGACCAATCTCCTTGCTTCCACTTGGCGAGCTAGTGTACCACGCAACAACCCGACCATCATTGCGCATAACTTTTTCATCTTGCTTCCCATCATACCAACATCTGATGCCTGTTTCATCATCACTCTGCGACGCGAACCTTCGCTACCGTAGAGACTCGCGACATCCACCAAAAGCTATCCCTCTTTGAGCGCCGGGCATATAGCATATCTATGCAGGCAGCTGGCAGGATTAGGCCGGTCACTATGCATTTAAATGTGTATAAATTAACGTAGAGGGTAATATTTCTAGGCGGGGGACCGTAAACCTAGCCTTTTTCACTATGCTTTTTCCTAGGGAGATTTTTTCTATTTTATTGGGGAAATGTGGCCTAATTTCTCTCGTCTTTTCTAGCACTTTTATCCTTATTAGTACCACTATATTTCTGTCAGGCTTTAAAAGGGCTGACACCGTACCGGCAGGCACTTAAACCGAAGGATTCCGACGAGCCCTAGTAGGAACGCTAGGTATTAGCGTCGTATGGCGTCGGAACGGCTTAGAGATTTTGCGGGCTATACTACTACAAGACGGGTTTTAATATATAAATAAATAATTATTGGAGCTTCTTCCCTTAAGAGAACGGTTTAAATATTAAAGTACCCTTTATTATACCCCTAATTCGTAATCGCTCCCTATATAAATACTCTATCCGTAGGCACTTTAACCTACCTTCCTCCACTAATCCTAATATATTAATATCTCTACCCTCTAGGAATTAAGCCGTTATTAATAGGATATAAATATATAACGGACGCTCAATCTCTCGGACTATCGACGATACACCCTCGGAATAACCTTTATAAAAAGAACTTCCTTTTGGCCTACCCTTACTATTAACGTCGAAACCTACGTCTACGCTTACTCAGTTTACTAAAAAACGAAACTACAATATTATAAGCCTTATAATTATTTCGCGTCCTTACCCGTCCTAACTATCCTATAATAAAATATTTAATACGATTTTATTACCGGATTACCTAAAACGTACGACCCTATTATAAACTGGACATATAATACAATTTTAATTATTATTAATTAATTTCTTAAATATACTCTATATATCCCTATTTAAAAAATAATCGATATATAATAATTCGTCTAATTCTTCTAATAATAGGTTTTCTATCCTTTCGGCTTACCCGATTTTATTAGATTTAATCGGGGAAACTTTTTTATTAATACCTTCTAAAAGATATATTATAAATTACTAGAAATCCGGCAGCACTTTAATACTGCTTAATACCCTTAAACCGATAGCTAGACCGAATAATAAAATTAAAATTTAAAATTCTACTTCCATATTTTCTATAATATAAAATAAACGGATTAAATATCGAAGTGCATTCTAATAAAATAAATTTAGAATAATTATTTTAATATTATAATTAGTAAATCCCTAATAGAATTTCTCTATAATTATTAATTATAAAACCCCGCTAACTTAGAATAAAGAAGGGGTATAATTTTACTTATAGTTACTATTAAAGAAATTGTAAAGTTTATATAGGAAAAGGTGGTAGTAATTAACGTCTTAAATAAAATTAACCGGAGGTACGCAAAATAATATAATGAATTTTAAAAACCACAAAAATTCAAAGTTAGCGATTAAGTATTTTTAAATATAAAAAATATTAAATAATAACGGCCGAACGTAAAGCTTTCGGATAAATTCCTAAGACTTTTCCGAATTACAAAGGTTATAAATAATAAAAAAATAGCCTTCCGACTAAAACTACTAACGTATTACTATATTTATCCAATTTTCTTTATTATATTACTAAAGCCTTATTATAGCGATTTAAAGGTAATTATATTAAGGGGCGAAATAATAAACGTCGAAGACGAAATACCGTAATATAAAGTGGAAATTAGAAGTATTATAAAGTACGTAGGTTCGAGAACAAATTAGTAATATTAAATGAAGTAGAAGGGGTACTTAGAAGAGGATAACGAATAAGTATTATTAGAAAATTTAAATTATTTAGAATGATTCAAGGAATACGAAGCGAAGGAGTTATAATAGAGGAAGTAAGTAGGAGGATTAATTATAAAATTAATAAAGGTTAATTGAAATAATTAAAAAGTAATAATAGAATTGAATTATATAATATAAGAAATTAAAAAATATAAACGAAATAAGGCCGGACTTGGGGGATAAAAAAGTAAAAAAATATAGACGAAGTAAAGCCGGACTTAGGGGATAAAAAATAAAGGAATATTAATAGAATAAGGCCGGAATTGGGGGATAAAAAGCGAAGAAAAATAAATAAAGTAAAGCTGGAATTAGGGGACTAGAAAAAAAGAAGATACGAACGAAGTAAAGCCGGAATTAGAGGATTAAAAGAGTAGAAGATTAGAAGAAAGCGAAATAAAATATAGAAATAAAGTATTTAAAAAACTATATAATAACCAGAATTATGAATTATAAAAATTAGGAAGGATAATAGGAGCGGGAATTAATTATTTAATTATCCTAGGGTAATATTTTCATTTATTCCGACCGAATATAAATAAGGCTCGGTATTACCTATTTAATTAAATTATGATTATTAATATAAATATTGAACTTACTCTTTAAAGTCTCTAACTTCGCGCGCTACTATAGCGCTTATTAACTATAATATCAAAATTAAACTTCACTGATAATATTAATAATTTCTTTATTATTTTCTTATAGAACTTGCGAAAATATAATAACTTAATTCTATAAAGTACTAATAATAATGATTACCGCCGATAATTCCGTTTTAATAGTATTAATTAAATATATTATAATGATAATTATATCGGCGAAAAAAGATATATAAATTTTATTATAAGAAGTAATCATAGGATGTAATTTATTAATTTTAATTTCGAAATTAATAAAGCGTATAACGAACGGACTATCGGAAAATAAAAAAATAATATTTAAAACGGGGGTAAAGATATTAATAATATTGGAAACTTTAAAAGAATTAAAGGCGCCCGGAGCTTTAAAAGAATTAGAAGCGTTAAAAGTATTGGAAGAGTCTAAAGCGTCGGAAGAATCGGAGGAACCTAGGGTATCGTCGTAATTAATTATAATAGGAGGTATAAAAACTACTTTATAGAAGCGAATGCGTATAGCGGAAGTACGTTAACTACGGGTAATTATTTTACCAATACTCTAACCCGAAATACTACAAAGGTAAAAGTTAAATGAAAAGTATAAATAAGTAATATAATATTGATAATAAATTTCCTATAATCCGATAATAGTAATTATAATAGCCTATTTATAATTACTGACCTCTACAGAAGCGTAATTATTAAAATTAACAAGTGCCTAAGAAATAAAGCGAATTTATAACTATATTTTAAGGGGCGTTAAAATAATGAATAAATTATAAATGTAGGAATAGTGGATACGTTCGTAAATAATAGTCGAATATAAAGCGGTATTTAGGAAAGAATATTAGTAAGAATGGGAAATTGGGATAAAATATACTTATACTTTACAAAATAAGTAAATTCGCCGGCGGATTCGAAAAGGAAATTATTATTAAATTCCTTGGCAATCCCTACGTCGGCGAGAGCCTTAGTAAAATTAAGGGTATAAATTATATAAAGAGGGAGGTGTGTAATATCATACAATAATTAATAAAATAGAATAGTAAAAGATAATTATAAAGATATTTATAGTAAATCGCTATTTGAAGGAACGTTTATAACGTAATTACCTATAAAAATAAAGGGTTTATTGTTAAAAAGGTTAAGGCTTATAATATTAGAATTGATAAAATAAATAATAATAGCGATAAAAAAAAAAAGAAAGGGAGAAAGGAAAGGAAAGGAAGAAGAAAGGTTCTTATACCTAATATAAAGGATTATCTATAGATTTTAAGATATAGATTTATATAAACCCCTACGTTATTATAATTATTAAGTAACCGAAATAAATATTATATAATTACGGCTAACCTATTTAAAAAGTTTAGAATATATAAATAAAATGCAATAATAAATAAATATTAAATAATTAGAATTTCGAAGGCGGCAGGATAA